AAAAAAAATAAAAAATAAAGATCAAATAAATCTATAAAACAAATATATATATAAAATCATCGCGTTTATAAAAATTAAAAAAAATCCTTATCATTATTCTCATTATCTACAAGAAAAAATGACATTAATCTTCATTGCTTTATGCTTTATTAAAACTATTTCAGGAAGCAAAAAAATATATTTATGACAATGCTGTTTACAGAACTAATAATAATAAAAAAGAATTTAAAGAATTAATATACAAAGTCTTTATTGCAGGCCAAGAATTTTTAATTACTGAATTAAAAAAAAATTTTATAGCCTTAATGGTTGAGCATCATATCTTCGAAGAAACAGAATATATAAATATAACTTACTACAAATATAATAAATAAAACTAAAGCTACTCATAGTTAATTTTTTGGTTTTATATCCTGCTGCTAAACTTTTAACAAACCCAAGAAAAATATTTTTAATATATACTATCTAAGCGGTTTTTTAAAAAACTTCTTAAATCTAAAATTAAAAACTACATATTGTATCACTTTTTTTAAACTTTTATGCTATTAAACCTCGATATCAGACCTAAAAAATTAATTTTATATAGCCCAAGTTTTTTTTTATTTATTATTTATTTATTTTTTTTTTAGTTTTTTATTTAATCTTTTTTTTTCTTACTAAAAAAACAGCTTATCTTAGTACAAACTATATTAATCTTCATTTCAGATAAGGTCGAAATTACTTTAGATGATCTTCTTTCTTAACTACTTCTTTTACTATATTTTGCTTCTGTCATTCTCGATTTCTACTTCTTAAACAATAAGCTTAGAATAGAAAGTCTTATGCTTTCTAAAAAACTTTATAACAATATCAATAGCCACAAAAATATAGAATCTGAAGGAATTGTATCTTACTCTAACCAAAATAGTCATTATGATTCACTCAAGAACAACTTAAAAAGAACTATCCTTTCTGTAATTAGAAGATTAAAAATTGGTGCTAAAAAAAAAATGCTTCATATTGTAGCTTCTGATATCGAATAAAATTATACTAGTAGTAAACAGTCCTCTGAAAACTCAAATAAAGAAAAA